TTTCAAAAATTGATGTGTCTGTCTTCACTTCAACTCAATTTTAACTCCTAATATTTAGGAGTTATCTCTACGGAAGCCTATCTTACGAATTTCCACAAAGTTTGCTCATACAGTCAGAAAAACTAATACTTCAAATGTACTAATGATATAATTAAATGACATTTCGTTACTTTATATATGTATTTAATACAGCAAAAAGCAATGTATTTCACCCAGAATAAGTTCAAATTTATATTTCGTGCAAAAATATCTTTTAACTGACGAAAAAAAGTATATAAGTTAATATAAAACAAAAAATAAAAATTTTATTAAATAAATAAATAATAGGCATATAGCAATTGCAGCAAAATCTGTTTACATAAAATGAGAAAAATGGTAGTATTCAATTGCACGTTACGTTAATCCTGTTAAATATGAAAACCTCTAGATTATCAAAATGTTCTATGCTTCTTCATTTGCATACATATTACATTAATACAACATTAACAATATTACGATATACAAATGCGCCATCATCTTTTGAATAATTCGCGAGCCGATAACTCGATCGTACATATATCCCTTCTGAAGTTTATTGGATGTTCCACTTTTTTAAGATATATTATGCAATATTGCAAAGATCACCACTTGAATATTCGAATAATTTGTCATATTTTCACTTGACAAATTAAGCGTAACACGAGGATTACATACACGTCATCCATGCGTCAAAAATCGACACAGTTGAGCAACATTAATTATCAAAATGCATCAACTTGTTTTGGGATACGGGTTTTTATAATGTCAAAAAAATGCAGTAGGAACACATTATTCAAGTGTCCTTCTTCAAGTTTTAACCAGGACTCGGACAACGATCAACAATCAGAGTTCTAATTAGACGTATCAAACATCAAATATTTTTTTAAATGGCAGTTTTTAAAATTTTACTTTCCACACAGAATGTGAAAATCTTTACGAAAAGTTATAAATTGTCCTTCGTAGATGTATCACAGTGTGCGGTATTTTCTCGCGAGGAGCTTTTTGTGCGGGGAATCAGCAATCTTAAACATCAATGCCGAGCAATTCTCGGCTATCGGCCTTTGAAAATCGGCGACGTAAACTGCGACGACGAAACTCCCTCCATCAGACGGACGCACGTTTTACTCGGAGACTGGCAGAAGTCGGGGGTGGTCGATATCCTTGATATCCAGAAGGATCCAATAACTCGGAATTCGCTGGGCCTAGACAAGTGCAAGAGCATACGCTCACACAATCGTCCGTGTCGTGCACGACAGGCACGTGACTGGCCAGAAGCTTTCCATTTACCGCCACAACCTCGCCATCTAATGTCAATACGTGATGGGAAGCCGATTGCAGCTCAGTGTCGTCACGACGCGCCTCACCGGAATCCCTAAAGTGACGTTTCGCAGGAAATATATTAATAATTTTTTCACATATCTGTAAAATAATTCGCCTTCTATTACAGAAAATAGTAGATATTTACGTCGTCATGAAGCGCAATACGAGCAAATTAATACTGGCAGCAACTACGGCCAAACCAAATAGGATAAAGATCAAACTCAAAATCACATATCCAGGTTTGTTGGAAAGCGCTTGATCATTCTGCAAAGTAATTTGTCTATAAATCTCACCGCTTCTCTCGCTGACGATCAACCAAACGTTATTTACCTGAAGAGCGACATAGTCACCAAAACCTATAGTTGTAAGCGTCACAAAACAATAATAAAAACTATCAAAGTAGCTCCAACCCTCATATCTCGAAAACACTGCAGCACCTGTCGTAATAATTATACTTGAAAGTAAACCAGTCGCTAACATGAGATTCATCTCTGTAGCTTCGGTTCTTTGACATCTGAGATACGTCTTTGCTCGTCTAATCACAACTGATGCAAACTTGTTCAATCGTTCACCAATGCTTTGAAACATTACCAATCCCAAAGGAATTCCTACCATTGCGTATACCATACAAAATGCCTTTCCGGTTTTGGTCACAGGAGTGGAATGCCCGTAACCTTATAGAAAAAAAATTGTATATATATATATTAAACTTTTATTAAAAATATATATATATATAACTTTTTTTTAAATACACCTCTCTCTCTCTCTCTCTCTCTCTCTCTCTCTCTCTCTCTCTCTCTCTCTCTCTCTTTTGTGAGCATTTTATTTTAATATCGATTATAAATATATTTATTGTGTTGTCTGATACAAAACATAATTTTCCATTAATTTTTGATTATCATCTATCTAATCTTTAATATGTATACACATTAAAAATTTAAACAGTTTTCGAAGATAGCCCTGGCGAAAATTCTTCTTTGCATTCTTCATATAAGTAATTTTTCAGAATGTTTATATATAAGTTTTACAATGTTTGTAAGTATAATTTCATAACCTTATAAAAAGTTTCTTAGAGTTTTTACGAATTGAAACACTTTTCAGAAATACTGAAAGTTTCCATTGTTTCCATCTTTTCTATGTATGTATCTTTTCTGTATATAAATATTAAATATAATTCTGAAATACAATATATTCTAATAAAGTGTAATATAATTTCTATTTCTCATATACTCTACAATTTGTGAAGAAAACTCATAAAATCTAAAGATTAAATTATTCTTCCGAAATATTCATAAATTTAAAATAATATAAAAAATCTTAAAGATGTTATGAGAAATCATGAGAATTTCTTTCACCAAAGAACACAAACGTGACTCACCAATCATGGCTAATACTAAAGTGGCAAAATAGAAAGCACCCGCAAATTTCCACTGCGGTCCCGCTTTATGTGGCTTGTTCTCTATTATTACAATTTCGACCATCTTGTAGTCCTCCGGCGTAATATTGTACTTTCTCATCATATTACGGCGTATCTCTGCAATAATATTTTCCACCAAAAGCGAAAAAAATATAATTATAATCAATGATCAATTATCGATTCGCTTAAAAGTATTCATCGACTCAAACAGCGATAAAGAATTCACCCGAGAGAAATTCCCAGCGTTTCTTCTCAGTGTCCGATTCAAGGGCATCGAATACCGCAGCGCCAACAAGGAGATATGTAAATGTACACACTACTAACGACAAAGTCCTGACATTCTGTCTCTTCATCTTCGCCGTTTTGTTCTATCGCGCGTCTAAGCGCGCTGCAGAATACAAAATTCAGCGATCACTGCACTCTCAACGAGTTTCTCGAGATTTCCCCCGACAATAATGTTCTTCGCAAAACACAATAATATTTATGTGGAGCAGCGTTTTGTACACAATGTATAAATACATATTTATTTTGCACCGGAAAAATAAACATATATGCGAAAAATTTATATCGCAGATGAAACATTCGTCTGAGAACTCGAGACACGATGAGAGTAAGCTCGGTAGTCAGTACTCAACTATTCACGAGACAACAGACAACAATCGTTGCACTGCTGCACATTATCCGTTCGGTTCGGATGAGTATTGATCGCGGGCCACCGAAGGAATACGCTGCTGCTGCTGCTGCTGACTTATATTCGGAAGTATGTCGTACGATAATCTAGAGCCTCGATGATAACATATATTATATACATATTAACGTTGCAGTTACAACCAATAAATGATAATTGCGACGCGGCAACCGCGAGTGGTAACCCTACCCTATGAATTGACTGAACCACACTGATCATGATCACTGATGACTGATGTCGCAGTTCAGTAGTAGTGGTGCGCTTTCGTCGCGACATTACTAGTTGTGCGTGCGTCGGTCATGTACAGACCATCGATCGATTATGTGAACGAGTCTCATCATCCCTTTAACTTTGTTGTACACACAGTAAATCTACCGTTGATAATTCAGTAATTTATACAAATTTACTCGTATTATATAACGTAAACTGTAAATTGCCAGCGTTGGCAATAACTTTGAAACGCGGAACCTACATCTATTTTGGAAAGACTGAAATTGTGACTTAAGGATGCTTTGTCTATGCAATATATTAGTTAAAAGTATCAGAAAATAATTAGCCAAAAATAGTTAATATATCTGTAGCCAATATCATTCAAACATTTTTAACGATATCAGCCCGTTAAACCAACTGCAAAAAATAACAAAACAAATAATTTGACTTATACTCTTATTTTCTTACAGTTTTAAGTCAATTTTTAAACGACGAGTAAGTAGATTTAAAAAAAAAAAGTTTTGCACGAATATCTATTATTATTTTAGTATACATATTATATTAGTAGATATCAGTTTAATCTTATCAATTTAACCTTAGGTGGCGTCGTCAAGATCAGATCAAGGTCATACTTTGACTTTTAATGGCACATCCTATTTTTTATTTCAGAATTCTAATAGTTGGTGTCAAGAGTTGGTTTTCAAAACACTACAATAAAGTTATTTTTCATAAAGTACATTTCGGGTTATAAGGTTTGAAAGTTACAGTACTGCCGCGGCATTAGTACATCACGCAAGTGTCCGACCGACGGTTAAAACTTCTTATTCAGAATCATGTCTTGGATAATATTTGTTAAGATCAAAGTCATTAGAAATTGTTATCTCTTATAAAAATGAATTTTCAGTGCAAAATTTGTGACCGTCATTTCGACTGATGGCACGTCAGTGACAACTTCGTCGCGTTTTACATTAATGTTATTCGATAGCCAGTGATTTTATCTCGATACTCAAAGTAAATAGCCATGCACAATTATCGCAAATTTTCTCTAAGGTGCGAGTGAGAGTGCCACTTAGAGTAGCCGACTGCTCAGCTCCGAAACGGGCAGAGAGGGTGGGTTTCTTCGAAGCGAGAATAAATCATAATTTTTACATGAGAGTCAAGAAAAAAAATTAAATAAATTTTAAATTAATAATGAGAGAATTGTGCTCACATTTTACATAGGTTTTCACCGTACGTAATAACGGAACAATCGATAAAATTTTTGTTAAATTCCTGATACTTTAAAAATAAATATTAAATAAATTTGTCACAAATTAATCCTTATAACTTTGGATTGCTTCAGTGAATCGACTCAGAATTTTGTCACAAATCTCCGAACATATGTAAGAACAATTTGTAAAATTTTTGTTAAATTTTTAACAAAATATAATATTTATTTTATATAGTTACTTTTCTGCAAACATAGAACAACGAAAGAGCATCATTCAGTTTTTCTCAAGTCGATGCCAACTATGCGATCACATGTTTTTACAACGCGAATTCGTCGGAAAGTAAAAGCAAAAGAGAAATACTATCATTATTAAATAATGGCGTCGTCAAAAGGAAAAACGAGAGACCGCTCCAGAAAGAAGCGGGCAACAAGACGAATATTACGTTCTGATACTCGTTCCCGAGTTAAATCGGTACGCTGTAAACACGCCAACCCTCTATATCAACGGCAACTGTACGATTCCATCAATATACCTCAATTAGTCTATCAACTCCTTACCATCGACAAACACAATCATGGTATTACGATTGAAACATAATTACATGATTATATATTTAACACACCGATAAACGGCAATAAATTAAAATATAAAATTAAATTATTTCAATCTATATCCAATCTATATCGTATATACAACTCGAATTTTTCAATCTAAACCAATTATATCTTAAATAAATGATAAAAAAAAATTGTATTTTATATATATATTCCAATTTTATGTTTTATACATATAATTATATATAATTGAGATATTTAATAAAACATCAAGTATCAGTTATTTAGAAATAATCAATCTTATCTTAATTTGTAATCTAACAAGTTGTCTTTATATGTTTATTGGCAAAGACGCAAGACGTTTTCCATCTCCGAAACGCTTCGAAACACATTGTCGAAAAACGCAGAATGGCTCTCATGAACGGCAAAGACTGTCATACAAAGCGGTCGACCACCGTAATGGTTCAGAATCTGTACAAATGCCGGAGTACACAATAGAATCTAGGCCTACATCTACCGATAATCTCACGGAAGCAACGGATGCTACAAATAGCTCAGCACCAACGAGTTCCGCGAATAGCAGTGTGTCAAATGTCTCAATGGAACGGAACGCATTGGCGAACTCGCTCAATAGCGCCAAAGCACTTTTCAGGAAGAGATCTTTAGTACAGCTCATTAACAATTACATCAAAGCTGGCGTTGAAGAAGGTGCATTTTTCCATTTACATAGAATTTCCAGTTTGTGTACATAGTAGTAAAAATAAATATTCAAGATATTTGATTGCAGCAAAATTTGAAATTCTTTCTTTCTCATAGTAGTTGAACATAAAGAAAAATTGCTGCAATGATATACTATTATATATAATTGGATTTTATATTAAACAATTGCATACCTAAACCTTCATTGGAGATTAAGCTCTTTTCAGCTTATTTAAAACAAGCCGAATGATTTAGAAAAATTTTATACAATTTTTTTGTAAAAAATTCTATATGTATAATATCTGTATATATATACATACATATGTGTACATTCCGCGATACCGAAAGTCGCGAATCAAAGTACACGGTAAGAAAGTTATCAAAAAATTAAGTAAAAAAAGTTATTTGTAACTTTTAATTTTTTAAGCAATTGGGTTTGTGAAATAATAATAATAAGCTCATTCAATATTCAATGTTGTTATATATAAACTTTAGATAGACTACATTTAAACGCTCAAATTTATCATGTGTAATACTATCGCACGTACGATTCCTCGAATAGATTCATAGACAATCTAAATTTGTAATTGGCTATATTTAAATCTTTATATCTCAAACTTTCTTACTTTCTTACTCGTATTTTAATTTGCGAATTTCGAAACATCTCGTATATACATCATGTATATATAAATAATATTTTGTTTTTCTGACAATTTATCTTTATGTGATAAACCGACAATTTTTTTACGAGGCCAGCTAGAAGTAGGTGTAATGATAATTTCTAAAACGAACAGATGCATCGGATGAGTACGTTTCAAGTAGAAATTGGCTCGTTCGGTATGTCTATGTATCGCGTCAACTGTCATTACACGCTGCTGTAGAGCTAAGAGCGCTTTTGGCGAGGTCAAATTTTATGAGTGATATGACGAGTGCGGACAATCAACAACATCCATATTGCAGGAAAGCGACAGGCCAAAAAGTACATCTGTAAAGCATTATCTTTTGGCGTGAGATCGGGTTATTTGATCCCGACCGATCGACAAGGTAATATGCTCCGTGTGTGTCCGACTCTGGACACACAATCTTGGAATTGGAGACGGGCCGACGTCGAATCTCGACAAAGACGACGCATTGCGCGACGAGGAAAGATGAATTTGACAACCATCGCCGAACGGAAAGCAATGCGTTGCGGCATTCCGCGAGATAAATTTCTTTACAGTAATGCGGACAACAAGCAGACGGCTTCAAAAAGAAAAACACGAAATGCTGCTCAAAATCCTGCCAAAAGTTTAAATACGCAGGAGAGCGACCCACGAAAATCGCTTTGTAAATCGTTACACGAGAAAAACAAACCGAAAGCTTTTACAAGAAAGAACAGGTTTTCATTTCATTTAAAAAGAGATACTTATTATAATTCTTTTTTATATTATAATATAATTGTTTTATAAGTTTTACGATTTAAAGCAAGTCTCATAAATCTTTCACTATAGTCCTAGGCTTTCACAATCGTTTGATATGAAAGTAATGCGCACTGCCTCAGCATTAAAATTTTATACAAAACATACTTTTATATTTTAATATTTTCTCTCACAAAATTAGGAATCGTAAAATTAAATAGCTATCTATTATACATGAATCCGTTTCTAAAAACTCATTTCACTTTTTTCTTATATCTCTTTCGCTTTATATTCAAGAATTTAACGAGCTTAACTGTGTTACGAAAATGCATTTAATGGACTTTAATACGATACAGTTTTAAGACACTTAAATGCATTATGAATGCCTTAGAGATTTAAACAAGGAAAGTAAGAAGATAAAAAAAAAGTAGTATTAAATTCTTTTATTCTCATACTTATTATATTCATGGGTATAACATAATGGTGTTCATAATATTGTTTTACGAAATTTTGCCAATTATATTCGTTTTTCAAAAAGAAAAATCAATTTATTTGCATGTTCGTTTTAGCAAAATTAACAATATGATGAACAATAAGCGAAGACAACACCAAAAAAAAGATGACGAAAACATCAAGAAGTCAATTAAAAAACATCGTATGTCTTTTTCTGCTAAATATGCTCAGAATGATCGTGAACCAGTTGAGGAAAGTTATAAGGACGTTAACGAAAAAGATCGCAATCAATATGAAAGCAATGAAGATAACTATAAAATTGAGGAACAAAAATCGACGTCGAGTCAAGAAGACGAATCGAGAATGGAGAAACGAAAAACCGAGCCAAATATCAATAATAACAGGATAGATTACGACAGAAGAGAAAGCAGAAATTCCAATGATGAAAACAATGATAAAAGATCTGAAAAAGAAAGTGTCGACCATAACAGTGACAAAACGATTAAAGAAATGGAATTTTAAAGAATTAAAGAAGAATCAATCTTGGCCTTTCTTGGTCAAAAAACGAGAATTTCTTTTCTTTTGTACTCTTTTGTTTTTTTACCATTTGTAAAATATATTTATTACATTTTTGAGATTAATTTGAAATTATATTTTTGTACCCAAGTATGTGTATATATATATCTATCATTCTTTTCAATATTTTCTTTTATATAAGAATAAATCTTAATGAATATCTCAATGTTTTATCGTAAGAGGTGACTATTTCACTCTTATATATGGATTTTCTCTCTCTCTCACACACATACACACACACACACACACACACACACACACAATTGTATATATACATATGTATATATTACTACTAGATTTATGGATTAGATTATACTAGAAAAAGAAAACTCTCTTTCTCGCTTTCGCCAAATATCAATATATACCTACCTCACTTTAAATTCCAAAAATGTACGTATGTATGTATACATACATAATTTAGCTACAGAAAACAGATTTAACAATTAATCGATTAGTCGAACAATTGCAAATCTTATATAAAAAAAGAAGCTAAAAAGTATCATTGGTCATTGGTCTTCCTTTTTTAATTTTCAACGTCATCTTAAATGTCATTTTAAACAAAATTCACTCCATGATCAACTAATTGATCAACAAATTCACAAAACTAAGCTAAATTGTATATTTAACAATTAAACAACAAATCTTTCACGATATCTAAAAGGAAAAAAAAACAGAATTAACTCCAAAATTATGTCGCCCATAAAGAAACATCGTAACATGTCAAATCATCAGAAAATGAGTGAGTAATTATTTCAATGTAAATTATAAGAATTCATGTCGCTTTCTTTATAATATATTTATATTTTTTTAAGCTATATTTTATACAAATTTTAATACGAAATAAGTATAAAATTTTCTAAATTTGATATCTGCTTTGTATACCAATCTGCACATAATCAGTTTATTATATTATTTCATTATGTATGAAGTATTATTTCTAATTAATTTATATTTAAGATGCAGTCTTTTAATTTTCGGTTTTTTTTTAAATTAAAATTGCCAAAAAATCAACATTAATATTAAAGTATTAATAATGTGCATTAGATGTGAATTATTTTATATTTTACCCTTATTTGATTAATTGTGTAATGCTAAAAATGAAATAAAAAAATTTTAATACAATAAAAATATATATTTTATTCATCATAATATAATCTAAAGAGCATCCTCGTCGCAAACCTAATATTCCCGAGTTAGTCTACAAGTTCCTTGCGAATGAAGCTTTTGATGATAATAAACGTTGTCTTGTAAACAAGTGCCGTTGTTGTGATCAAAGAAAACATCATGAAGTCATAGATCCTATTTCAACCATCGACAAAAGCATAGGCTGCAGAATAAGGCAAAAATGGCGCAAAGACATTGGCAGGATTTCGAAATTGCACAATGTCAATCAGTGTTCTACCTCCAAAAATCAGCCAATTTCATATTTACAAAAATGCATGGATAGAAAACGTATGAAATTAATTGAAAAAATAGTTACAGATTACTATACATAAAAATTTAGATTGTAATGATGATTAAAAGAAATAAATGAAAAATACATCCAGTGTTTATTACTTCTGCAAATATTCTGTGACTAATAATTAAATTAGATATACCATATAAAATTTCAACTTGATTTTAATAATAATTATATATATATACTCTTTATATATTTTTTTATTATATATTTTATATATATTTTGATATATTTAATATCTTAAGGCAATTGAAAGAATAATGCACTAGAAGATTTTATTCGGATAACTTTGTACCTGGAATAAATTTTCATAAATTTTCTTCGATAGGTACGAAAGAGGCAAAAAAGTATATGAAAAAGGCGTTAAACTTTGGTGTCGAGTCTGGCTACCTTATCCCTTCTGATCCTACTTATAGAATTCTACACGTGTCCTCAGACTTAATGAAAAGCGATTCGCGAAGAAACAAAGTCAATATTTGCGATATGATTATCTCTAAAAATCGTGATATTCCGACGAGGTTCCAAAGCGAAGATTTCCAAAAGCAAAAGAGGATACAAGGAAGGCAAGGAAGACGAGATCAAAGATTAAGAAGCGCTTCGAGCACACGCCATAAAAGCAGAAGGAAGAAGAGAAAGAGATCTTATAGTGGAAGACGTAATAGATACAACAGGTAATTGTCAGGCATAATCCATATAATAACATATAATTCTCGACGTAATATAATAATCAAAAGATCTCGAGAGTATACAAAAATTTGATTAAAAAAAATTGTCGCAATTTAAACAAAAATTATCGTAATTAAAAATAAAAAAGCAAGAAGAGTAAAACTTAAAATTATTTCGATTCTTGAGTAGTGATCCAATTCTTTTCTTTAAATTGAAGTAAATTTCGAAGGTAAAAGAAAACGAACACAAATTTGTAGACGTGCTGATAAAATTCATTATACATTTACATAATTTATTAATTATTTAAATATAAATTATTTAGAGAAAGAGCTAAATACATGTAAATAAAAGAAAAGATATTTATAATGTGATATATGAATATCTATGTAGTTTCTCCCCAATAATAAACGCATCATTTCTTACGATCAATAGAATTATTTTTATCTCCGCATAATTGCTCCTTGTTAGACGAAATAATTAGAATCTAGCGTTATAATCGATCAGAGTGTTCGCGCGACTGTTAACCACAGTGTAGATTTAGAAACGCGATAAAACGGTCAAAGAAATTTCCAGCCAGTAGAATACCGAAGAGGTTACCAATGATGAGGCAGACGATTACGAGATGAATGAGAACGATTCAAAGAGCAATATTCACACAGACGGTGTAAAAATGAAATCAAAGATTATTCGATCGAATCAACTTAACGAGGAACAATCCACGAAGAAAGTTGAAGAAGATGACTCGGATTTATCGATCGACGAGAATGAAACTAATTATGAAATTGAGAAAAAAAATATTGACATTATTAAATCATAGTTTCCTAAAGTTGAACATAATTGCAATTTAGTAAAAGGATTAGGGAACAGTCGGAATTTCAGAAATTATGTAAACTCAAAATTTAGAGATGAAAAAGAAGTAATGCGCAAATAAAATGTAATTTATTCAATATTTTTCCTTAATAGAGATATAAACACATACACACATACACACACACACACACACACACACAGAGTTAGGCATGTATTTGAAATACCTTTATTTGAAAAACATTTGTAAGACAATTGTATTTTGTATTTTATGAGAGCATATAAAAATATTTTGTATTTCAAATACTAAGATTTAACAATCAATCTTATTTGTATTACAAAATACAAAAATATTCAATTTTTCAATTTTAATTACAAAATATATGATACTTTCATATGCTCCAAATACAAAATATATTTGTATTACAAATAATGTGTTAAATAAAAGTATTTCAATTTATGTCAGCCCTGTATACATATATTATGTATAATAAAATAAAGGTATCTCATAAAGAGAACGAAAATGATTTCCTCGTACAACAGAGGCTAATTCTTATACTAACAATTTACTTATAAACAAATATAAGAAAGAGAGACAGAGAGAGAGAGAGAGAGAGAGAGAGAGAGAGAGAGAAAGTTTCGGAAAAATTATCTATTTCCAAACTCATTACTTACCAACCGAATCATGTGGAACATTTTAAACTTCGACGCGTACACATGTCACAACAAAAAGAAATATGCGGAAACATCATATTAGGAAAATAGAATATTATGCTTTCGATAAGATAAATTGTTAAGAAAATAAAAATAAGATTAGCCTGCAGATTGCAGCGTATGTTGAATGATTATGTGGAAAATAATAATAGGGATGATTCTTAATTGGATAAATATAGAGATGATATTCAATAAATTCTTCATGCATGTGTTAGAGAAGTAGACATAAGTACGATATCTGTGAAATTTTTATCTCTGGGCACACCAAAAGCACTACAAATTTGCTTATCGGATCATTCTTTATATTGAAATTGTGGAGATCATATCATGTTTATGGTTTAAAGCTCTATATCTAAATATGTAATATTTTCCCTTTAATTTAAAAGCAAACTGGAAAATGTAAAATTTATTAGCTTTGAAAATCTATTTTGCCTTTTTTGGCGAAAATATCAGAAGAGATGTTTTAATTCATGCAAGCCCTATCACAAAAACATTGTATTTATATATTTTATAGAAAAAAAAAACACGAAAAGATTAAGACACTATAAAGTTTTAATAAATACACACGTGTAGAAAAAATTATATATTTTTTAAAAGACAAAAATTATTTTACAGAGAGATAGTCTTACTTTTACTTATCAAAAATTAGATTAAGAATAGAAACTAAAGCACATACGAATTTATTCCTTTTTTTTTTAAATTAGCTGTTTATCAAGCAGGATGTATTTCGCATTATTTTAATGATAAAATTTATATATTTTCGAACATAATGTAGTTTGCATTCTGGCATGCAGCGGGGTCATTTGATTTTAAAATCAATTGGCATTTACTACTTTGAACCAAGAAATTCGCTTCACACACACTTGTTATACACCAGCAGAAATACAATGCGAAATACACATCTATACAGCTCTTAAATACGTAACTCCTACTTTGCTGAAGATGGCTTGATCGAAGTGTGCCGAAATGTTCGAAATTGATATAAGGTTAAGAAGACAAAAATATATTCTGTAAAATTATGCAAAGGAATCTACGGAGTTACTCTCATTTTTTCGTTTATTTTAAAAAAATATCAATTCATTTTTTATATTACATTTTAGCAATTTTCCCAGCATTTCCGGACATAATTTTTTATCCTCTCTTTCTGTATATTACTCATGTGTTATCATTGTGCAAGATTTCTCTTAACAGAACAAACTTGACATCTCTTCAACAAAAAAATGCTTTTCGTTCTAATAAATATGTATTTAAGATTAAAATTAAATGAAATAAGTACCATTCATATACCATTTGTTTCAACGAATAGCTAATAAAATTCGTTATAGATCTCGTTGTATTATATAATTCATCGATCGAAAGCTATAAGTTGAGAAGCCGACGATCTGGGAGAGCGCGGGAGTCTGGGGTGGTTGTTGGTGGGGGGGGGGGGGGGGGGGGGGGGGTATTACAAAACTTTACGTAAATCCATCTTGTCAGCTTACGGCATCACTTTCATTGCACTCAAAAACCCTCACTTAGAGTGTTTCCAGTGCACTTACAAACTGAACAATCGTACCTTGACCTTGGCTAGCTTCCAACAATAATAAGTTACGAGATACATCGCGTATTACTGTCTATTTTTTACTGTTTTCTATTTTATTCCATTCTATGTAATTATAATTTCAAATCTTTATCTTTATATTTTATCTTATACTTATCTTGTCCTTATTCTCTTACAAAGCATTCTACAAAATTGAAGACATATTTTTTAAGTATTATTTATTTATAACGTATAACAAAGAAAAATAATAGAAAATTCTATATATTGTTGAATCAAATTGTATGATAAATGTCTTTTTCATTTTTAAGATTAAATTTTACTTTATTATCTTCTCACCGTCGCGAACCAAACTAGTGTAAACTATTGTTTGTATAAAGTTTTAAATTAAGAATCTAAATAATGGACAAGCTATAAAAGCAATAAAAATATGCGCAAATCTGATTGTGAGATTATTTACAATGGAGATGATTTATCTTCATATACATATGTCATATACTATTACGAAAAATATCCAAACTATGTTTACCTATATTATTAGATATTCATTAGATATATACATAAGTATATGACATGATAAATAGTAAGTGTATACATCATTCTCATTATTCTCACCATTTTAGTTTTTGACTATATAATTGCCTTGCAAAATATAAGTTTTATAAATTGGACAGAGGATTAAAATGGGATTAATATGAAATTATTGCATATCTCTCTTTATATATAGAAGCGTAATTAATATTTATTATTTTTTCATTACTCACACAAAATGAAATTAAAATATCCATTTAAGAGCATAATTCGATTTTATCTGATATCCGCCCATACGATCGCATCTATGAATTACATTCTTCTCTGCAAGTGTGTGTGTGTGTGCGTGTGTGTGTGTGTGTGTGTGTGTGTGTGTGTGTGTGTGTGTGTGTGTGTGTGTGTGTGTGTGTGTGTATATATACCGTTAAGAATCGCGCGAGTTGACTAGCCCATGAACTAGTACCCGAACTTGAAATTTATGACTTTTACGAGTAATCACACTCATTCTTTTCCCTAGCTTTATTTTATCCACTTCTCCGCATCAACTCATCCTCGGCTATGCTGTTGCGCTCACTATCGTTGCGCATATCGTCCTGAGCATTATGTTCATCCTGCTCGCTCTATTGTCGATGCGCTGCAGTCTGCTCCACGCCGTATGATGCACATATACGAAGGGGTGAAACGGATCGATCACAGGGCTGCATCGCGTCTCCTCGACAACGAAACCTAACTCGAGTTTTCCTCTTCGACACGCCCGGCATCGTTGTCCTTCGTTGTCGTTGTCGTCGCCAACCGAGTCGGTCCTCATTAGTTAATCGGTGTAGACCAGTGGAGGCGGTGAAGACGGAGACGAGATCACCGGTTGACAGCAGATAACTGTACGTCACCTGTGAACAGAATTCACAGCGATGCTTCTTCTAGCAAGCTGCTCACATGGTAGTTGAACGTTTACGGTCGTGGCAGCAACGGTGGCAACGGCAGTGGTGATAGTGGCGGTGGTAGCGGCGGCGCGACGGCGCGACGGCGCGACGGCGCGGGCATCCTGACGCTGGCAGGCGCGCCCGTATACTCGTACTTTCCCTCGATCCCTTGATTGTCACTGGAGAATGAGAGAAGAGCGACAGCTTACAGCAGTTCCAGTCGGCGCGCGGCGTCCGTCGTGACGCAATTCAACTTCATCGCGTTAAATGTGTTGTACCCGTGTGCTTATCACTTAGCTTGGAATTTGCAATTAATAATTAGTTAAACCGCCAATTTTTTTAACACAAATCACTCTGACGAGTCTCGATTGTCGAATAATTGAGGGATGCGTAGGAGAGATGCTCAAGTCATTAAATGCAATGGAAACCCAGCATTGCGATTGAATCGACGACCCAATCTTCTCTCATCGGGTAAGTTTTATAGCTGATACTTATTCGGCTGTCAATACTTTTCGACTATTGGAATAATTGATAAGAATTAGGGAATTATGATTATAACACTTAATAAATATAAAATCTAATAATATATATCTAACAATAAATAAAAATTTTCTTTTCTCGCAAATTGTGTTTTTACGAAACATCCAGTAATTTTGCGAATTCGGAAACATGGCTTGAATTTGGAGTATACTTTTCGAAGCGAATTAAATCAAATCGAACGATTTGCAGTTTTATAATTTAATAATTGAAAAATCATTACGCGCGCGCCCAGAGACGTCTTAAAATTCATAAGACATTTTTAGGAACTATGAGAGAAAAACGTCTATATGACGTCTTTAAGATACCTTATGAACCAGATTTATGACGTCTGACAGACATTATCCTCAAAACTTGCTTTAGACAACATTTGTTTAAAATATAATATAAAAATAAAAATTACTGTTACGGAAACGCGTTGATAAGAAGAAGAATAAGAAGCAGAAGCTAGATTTACCTAATAAATCAGTATTTGAATGATATCACACAGGCATTTAATGTTATGTATCATCACGGAAAAACTTTTAAATTTTTGTGAAAATTCTTAGTGAAATATACAACATTGAATGCCTTTAATTAACGAGAATGACATTGATTATAACATCGAAATTCAACAGATAAACAAAAGTAAAAAGAAAGATCTATTGAAAGATCTATTATATACGAGATTCTCGAGAAGATTATTCCTTTCCATTTTTATGTTAGATAAATTCGTAGAAAATCGAAGATATCCGAACATAAAACCTACATCAGGATTTATATATGGCTACCATTTTGATGCTATGACACCAATTCATAAAAGAATCTTACAATTTGATAATTTAAGCACGCAGCATTTTTATACTATCACGGAATGTTTTTTCTCTCTCTCTCTCTCTCTCTCTCTCTACTCAAGAATTCATAAACTTTATTTTCATTTAAGTTACAAAAAACAATTTTCTGAAAATAAAATCGACAGAATTCGATTTAAAAAATACAACAAGAGAATAGCATGAATGAACTCTTATTCCAAGCGAGCTTTCAGACATAAAGTGTAATTCTCATATTGTTGCTTTCCTTCATGAAAATGACTTATAAAGACGTAAAAGATTGAATAACTGCTGAAAAAATTTTTCTAATAATATATAACTTTGAGCAAAAGTTTTATATTTTATTTCACATATTTTCATTATTTATAGACACAATTATGAAATTTCTTCTCCTTGTACCAAACGCGTTTATATTTGTTTGAAAAATTTAATTGTTTCGTACAATACAAAATCAAAATAGCTTACAAAGAGTAAACAATACATAAAGATATCTGAATAAGCATGTAAAATGAGGTAATATTGAAATTTATCATTAATACGAGAATATTTTATCATTAATACGATTAATATAATTTTGCAAAGCTAAGCAAGGTTAATCTTCATTCCACTAATAAATGTTAGAACTACGATGCTGTTTAATCTATTAGGCGCCATTTGTAACATTTTCTTGGCGTTATTGAACTTTCATTAATACATTGATTTATTCAAGAAGAGCAGAAATATCTACATCAGAGAGAGAGAGAGAGAGAGAGAGAGAGAGAGAGAGTACTCGAATAATGAGGTTTGGAATTGATCGATTTGAATATTTTGTACATATAAACTTGATCTATTCGAACATGTGAATTCATTGCAGGATTTCATCATGTTGGGCAGACAAGACTTTTCGTAGGAAGATATAAGTAAATATATATATTTCGTATAAAACATTTATCATATTATATTATGATTTGTGTTTAGATTTGTGTTCGACGAATATATAAATATCAACCATAGTAAACTACAATTTTTATGATTAATACGTACTTTAAGCAAGTAGATCGTAACCCTAGGTGATTCCATACACGAATCTTTATGAAGATGTTTTTGAAGAGCGTGATGATGATAATAGCACGTTTCAGTATCACGCAAGTACTGACGCTAGTAATTACAGTGACTGGAGAAAAAGCAAAAAGCAATTTGTAACGATCGAGAGACGTCCCGTTTACATACACATCTATACAAGTGTATATCTTGTTACAAATTTTTGAATAATACATCAAAATATCAAAAATGAATCATTCAGATCTTCAATAATTTTTTCTTCTTTATTGTCTAAAATAATATGTTATAAAAAAATATTATACATATAAATATAGGAATGCATTATTAAGAAGTTATAACAAAAATACGATGTGTACAAAAAACAACTTTATTTAAATGTAGTGTGTGTTAAGAATTTATCATCCTTTTTGCGAAGATTGAGAGAAAACGTTCCTATGAAGATTTCTTCTATTGCAAAAGAGAAATGATAAATTCAAAATTACATCGTTGTCAAATTTGTATTGACATGGGCGGACAGTAATTCGAAATGCAAACTTACAATTACAGGGGAAAATTACAGGGTTTTTTATATATTTTACATTTTCATTATAACTTTAATAAAGAAATTATATAAGTTCATAAAAGATAGTGATTAGGCATGATGAGAAAAATCACCTTGACCGAATGGCCTTTCTCATTTACACATATTTAATCTCTATATCGATCTATTTTCACTTAATATTGTTTTTAATAAAGCATTTAAAGAGCTACATTAACATATTATTTTCTTCTCATTTCAACTTATAAAACATACTGCCAAAGTTACATATATAAAAAATTTGGACGTACACATACGTCCTGTATGTGTATACACATGTTTATAATAACGTGTGTGTGTGTGTGTGTGTGTGTGTGTGTGTGTGTGTGTGTGTGTGTGTGTGTGTGTGTGTATACATGTTTAGAATAACGTGGATGAAAATTCTTTGCCCACATTATTAAATCTTCATGCACACGATACACTTTATTTCACACACCCCTGCATGAAATTTATTTTCTACCGACACATCTCATTCAATTTTATTGCGTCTACTGTTATATGTGATTCTGAACGAACGTGATTCTCATATACAAATGGAGATTTACAAAGCCTTTTACACACGAGCACAGAGCTTTCACATGTACTACAATAGCCATAATTTACATGAATCTTATACAAATCAACCAATATCACGATACAAATTCAATAGAGATTGAAAATTGTAATATAAAATATTAGTAAAAATTAATTAAATTTTGAAAACAAGTTGGTTTATTTAAAAAGGTAAAAAAGAGTGAGAGAGAAAGAAAAAGGAGGAGAGAGAGAGAGAGAGAGAGAGAGAGAGAGAGAGGAAGTGGGGGAGAGATAGAGCTTAGGATTCATGAAAACGCAATTTTATCAAATAATTATTTAAATATTTAAATTCTCTTTTTTCTTTTTTTTATTTACATATACATCGGTTAAATAAAAAAAATTGTAAAATTATTTAATCATAAGTCAAGTATTACATACTATAAAATTATATGTTAAAGATATAAATATATTTCTTTTTAAAAGGATCACAATCTTTTGTAAGATACAATTAAATATATTGTTATCTTTATAATCAAAGTATATTACTATCTTTAAATCTTAAGTTATAATATTGAAACATATGCAGAAGAAAAAAGAGAAAAATATGTTTTTTTTATTCTTCCATATGCTCCCGCGTATACTTATTTATACAAACGATCGTTTATTGATGCACTTACTGGAAATTAAAAATTGATCGCAATCGTAACGAGCATGGTCGGCTATCTAGTACAAAGTTATCAGACACGTAGCCAATTGTTTGTATATCCATTTCTACAAATATATATTTGTAGGCTTTTTATACATATGCATTATGCGTATACATTGGAATATAGTTCTAAAATCTGGATAAAAACAATATGTTGAAAATAATAATATTAAACATTGTACATAAATGCGAATAATGCTTTATGTTGTATGATCTTTATATCTTTGCGAGATGTATTAGCGCAAAAAATAATTGTGTTTCAAGGAAGTGCTGATAATGTAATAGCGATTAGAGAGAAATTAATAATTAATTTTAAAGAAGATAATATATATTACGTTTGTATGAAATACAATGTGACTTACCCCAATATGTAACTTATCTGAATGCGAATGTAATAATATATGAGATTCTTTAATTTAATATCCTAATAGTAATTTAATTTAATTAATTATCCGAATGAAATTGTAATAATTTACAACTAATTGTAAAATCAATGTAAAAAGGAATCAATCAAAGAGAGATCAGTATATTTTTTTAAAAATTTATTAAGAAAGAAAAAGGTCGATATTTTCCGGGATTATACTATAAATAGACAATCGAAGTAAAAAGCAATTTCAATGACCATGGCCTTCTGGGAAATCTGAGAAGTTAGGAAGGAAGTGTTGGCAATGGGTTCAAGGCCAGGGAAGATGCGACCAGATGCGACGCGACTTGGGCGTCACTTCGTCTCTACGTGTCGCAACATAACGTTTGCTCCGAACAAAACGCATCGTACAATAAATTATTTTTATATTGAATATCCGGTAATCTATTTTTTTAACTACAATGGTAGGGATTTTCAAATAAATTTAAAGTTATTAAAAAAAAACTATATAATATATATTAAAAGAGAAACTAGGATTTGTTTCAACTTTTTGATAAACTTAATATTAAATAAATACATATCTTAGTTGAATTGAACCGCGAATTAAGATTCGAAAAAATAAATAGTCTATTTAAATAAGCAATTGCATATTTCTTCTGCTTTTTAATTTTGATATAGGATCGCTCGATTTTTTCCGCATGAAAGTCACCTGATTTGTCAAGACTTAAATATTTGAAGTTCACCGTATTCATTTACGTGTACTACGATAGTATGATGCCGAGCCAACATGTACAGTACAAACAAATATTCGTATGATTGATAGAGTGCATCATTCATCTCGAATGAAACAATCGTCTTATCCAATAATGATGCATTAATTGTATCCAAATTCGATATTATACAAAATCTTTTGATTTCATATTT